CTAGAATGCTTGCCCTTTGCTATGAACATTGTTCTATATTCTATAATCTTCCCCCTGCATTCATCTTGTTGGCTCATATTCTGTAACATTATAAAGTCATTGTGTTTACATGCACTTGAGTAATCAGATAATGGGGAAACTCCAGGTCTACACGAGTCAGATTTCTGCTTTGCAACCAGCCAATAAACTCACAGAAGAAGACGTGACATAAATGTAACGTAAAACTCAAACTTCATGCCACAGCTTTTTCAAAAAACATCGCGCCACTTTAGCTGAAAACATGAACATACATCATCTAGATGATGTTGCGTCTCGTGGGTGCTGTGCTATACGCTGCTCGCTTATTTCCAGTACCGCAGTCTGTTTTCACACATGCTCAGACTGAGAAATACGAAAGAAATCAGAGTAAGAGTTTACATGCACTGACAAATCTGATTACTGAGCTAAAATCCAGCCTCTTCGTCAGATTTTTTCTACTCCAATCTAAGAGTGTGCTGTTTACATGACCAATTGACTCATCAGATAACTGCAGAAATCTGATTATGATCAGATTATTGAGTGCATGTAAACACATTCAGTATTAGGTCAATGTGCCATGGTCTTTAAAAGGTTCAGCTGTACTGTACTAGTACTGACGAGCTTTTACATAATGACACTAGACTGTAATGCAGACTGGAACTTTCTGCAAACGGTGTCTGAGCAGATTTGCTACTTGTGTTTTGCCTTCCTGGTTTTTGGTTGCACTTAAATGTGAAATGTATGTGAATATAAAGGCCAGTTAACCCCAGACTGTCAACACCTGCACCACAGGATATTCAACACGAGTGTCTAGGACTGGTCAGTGTACTCGCAGCACAAGTAATAAATAAAAGTCTGTAATCGACTTTTTGTTTTGGTTGAAAAGCACTTTTTTTAGGAACTGTATCAGCTCATTTCACATTTACATGGAATTCAGTTCGACTTACAGTTCAGGTTTTATTCCAGTACTCTCTGAGGTTTTTCCCATGCCGGGTTTTCATAAGTAACCCAAGATCCATGTCATTTAATAGAAAACAATAGTGCCAAAGATCATTGCAACAGTCAAGTAAACAACAAATACGCAAGACAACAAAAGTGTTTCAAGATGCAAGGCCTTTGGCCAGGTATAATTTACATCTTTTTAGTAACTGCTTATGAAAAGAAAAGATTTTTACAGTTTTGTTAGTTGCTCAAAGTCGTGGTCAAAAAATTAGTTACACACTTTTAGTTAAGACGCGAAACAAGTTGACAAAAGCTACGTGACCTCTACAAAACAAGCTCGAAAAAAAAACTCCATTCAGCCATCATTCAGGTTATTCCACACTTACACTCCTGACTGCTGCAGATGTGCTGAGATAACGGCAGAAACATTTCAAGATTCTTTGTGCTTTTTTGTCTCTCCGTTCGGTGTGGCCTTCTTCCGCTTGACTCCACTTTGCTCTGTTGAGAAATATACTTTTCAGCATCCAATGACCCCCAACTTTTAAGAATTTTACGGTGTGCAGGAGTAGTTCACCCAAAAAGCCCAACACTGCAAATAATAAATGAAATCTGACAGTAATAATTAATAACAAACACTACTGAGTATGAGTTAACATTAAAAACAACCCGAAATAAAAACCCTTTTCACCTTATTAGCTCACTTGCCTGATTCATCATATCACGTAAAAAGACAAAATTCTTGCAATAGTATTAAACCCCCTTAACAGTCACTAAATTTGTCTGGATTACAAATGACACTGATATTTTGTGCCGTCAAAAGACTGACCTCACCTGATTTTGGTTTGATAAAGAACATATGCCATGGCTAAAAACACTAACCAAAAAATGCTGTTTGCAAAAGTATTCAACCCCTCCAATTTCCTCAGATAAAACATCTTGCCCTAAGGAGGATGCAGTTGGCTCACAACTGGCCTCTACCTGTGAATCATTACAGAAATCTGCCTTTTTAATAATAAAAGTCCCCTCAATTCAAGTACCTTTGTTCATACTGTGAATCTGAAGAAAAGGCAAAGAGGCTACAAAATAAGATCCAAGTGTTTGGATATCCTAGTGAGCACTGTTGAATCAATTGTGAGAAGATGGAAGCTGAATAAAACCACCAGGCACTGCCCAGACAAGGCCGTCCTTCAGAACTCAGCATTAGAATAAAAAGGGGCTTGTAGGGAAGTCTCAGAGAGGAAAACCATCACTGAAAGAGCTACAAAGTTCAGTGGCTAAAACTGAAGTGAAGGTTCACCAGTGAACAATATCTAGAGCCCTGCATACAACTGGCCTGTATGAGACGGTGGCTAGAAAGAAGCCATCAGTGAAGAAAAATCACATCAAAGCACGTCTGGAGTTTGTAAGGAAGCATCAGACCCAGCAAAAATGTGGGAGGTTTTGTGGTCAAATGAAACAAAATCGAGCTTTTTGGCCAAAATTTTGTGGCTCAAACCTAACACTACCTATTCCTCAACAAACACCATGCCAACAGTGAGGTATGGTGCTGGCAGTACCATACTGCGGGGATGCTTTTCCTCAGCGGGGGCTGGGCATTTTGTTAAAACTGAAGGACTGTGCAAAATACCTGGAGATACTGCAAGACAACCTCCTTCAGTCTGCTAAAAAGCTAAAGCTCGAGAGAAACCTCGCTATTCAGCGAGACAATGATCCCAAACACAAGGCCCAAGCAACACTGGAGTGGCTGAACAACAAAAAGGTGAATGTTTTACCAAGTCAAAGTCCATACGTCTATCCAATTATTATGCTGTGGCAGTATTTGAAAATTGCGGCCCACGAGTTGGCCAACCTGACTAAACCTCAAACAAATCTGCCCAGAAGAACGAGTGAACATTACCAAACATTGTGCAAAGCCGTCATTGCACAAGTACTAGTCTGAAGGGGTTGAATACTTAGACAAGCACCATTTTTGACTAAAGCTCTGCTGACAAAAAATTTGACTTTGAAAAATTACTTTTGGAGAGAATTGGTTTTCAATAAAAATGCTGTATAAGGGTCTTTTGTAATCCAGACAAGTTTAATACTTTAGAAGGTGCAATAATCCACCCCCAGTCAGATTTAACAAAACAAGCCTTTTCTGGGTGAACTCATCCTCGACATTGGAAACAAGAGAAAAAACAGTGAGCAAGCTTGAAGGTTGGTTAACTGGAAGCTGTCTAGAGGGCGAGATAGGCAGCTAGAAGGATTGAGGAAGAGTTAGATATAAAATTAAGACAGATAGATAAAAATTACATAGATAGACAAAAAGAAAGAGAGACAGACAGACACAGAGAGTGAGACAGACAGAATGATAGGTAGAGTCTGACCTTTAACTTGTGTTCTACTTTCTTGTTCCCGCTGGCTGGAGTGAGAATGGGAGGGGTTGGAAGAGGAGTGAGGGAGTGCTTTGCTCACTTTTTTGTTCTCCTCTTGCCCTAACTCAAGGGCCCTTCCTAGAGAGAGGGGTGGGGCATTTCATGAGGGGGGGAGGGGCAAACTCAAAAGACTCAACAAACTGCACAGGATTTGTTTTAACCTGCTAACTCAGTTTCAGCATATAATGCCTTGCAGACGCCACAATCATGCAAAACAGTTTACAAACACAGAACTGCATACTGTACCTTCCAGATCCACACATTAGCACTGAAAGCAGATGAGCACTGAGTCACAGTTAGTTCTGAGCCATGCATGCTTTAAAACTCATTTTATTTACACCTAAATACAAACTGCAGATTCTTAACAATTTAGAGGTTTAGCTATTAAAGCAAAAGCAGACAGCAAGTTATGTAATTCCATAAAACGCTTCAGACGTCTGGTTCCACTCACCGCTGTGAACGATTCTGACTTGGTAAGTTTCTCTAGAACGGCACATTTCACTTCAAACCACTCCGACTGAATTTTATACATACTAATGATAGATTTATGCAGAATATTTAATATCTGAAACATGATGAGTCTATATTTGTAATTAGGATTAATTGGATTGTGCGAAGGAGAAAATGCAACCAACTTCTAGAGGCCTCAGCATACTTCTTGCGAAACGAAATTCTCGAGGGTTGCGCGAAGCCGAAAGCATCCAAAAGCACGCTCGCGGTTTCATGTTGCCTATGAGAGTCCAGAATGCTGCCACCATTTAAAGTGGAATGGGAAAATTTGAGCAAGAAGCTGGAAAATACAAACCCAAAGTCAACCTACATGTTTTGGTGCTTAGTACTAGTTAGTATTACCGAATAATAGACGTAACACCTTACATTTAGGACGTATTCACTGTTTAAATCAATAAATACGTGAAAAACTGGTGTCTCTGCCAAGGCGCTCAGCGTACTTCTTGCCAAAACAGAGCACCTCAAAAAGTCATCCATCTCCGTTTCATGGCACGCCTCTTTTTACCGACCAATCACAGACTTTGTCGCGTAGTGTTTGTGAGTTCGCCCAGCTGCCATGGGCGCGACATGCCGAACGAAGCCTCCGAGTGACGTCTCGTTCTTGTTCGTTTTCTCCGCAATTATGTCATATTCGCTGAAGCCAGGCGAAAGTCGTATCCGCAAGAAGTACGCTGAGGCCTTGAGACTGAACATTTGAGGTGTGGAAAAAAATCCTTTTTCTTTGAAAAAACAGAAAGCGGGTTAGTTGTGGACAGTAAATACTGAAAATTTTGAAAGCATATTTAAAGTTTGTGCCCTTTTTAGTTTAATGTGTCCCCTGAAAAGTAAATAACGGATATTTTTACTGGAAAATAACTAACTAACTAACTAAACAATAAAAATAAGTATCAAAAATCGACAAGGCTAGAAGATGCATCTTCCTTTTCTTTTATTTTTTGCAAGTCAGTTTGTCTTGTGAAAACACTTGGTACGCACTATTAACTGCAAACATTTTCTCCTGTAGAAGGAACGAGGTTAGTTGCAAGCAAACATGCAGCAACGAGGACGGTGCGATGATCGGGTTAAAATCAATTCAGATCACTCTCCCAGAAAGCAAGACTACACACAGAGCCCAAAGCTGCCGCATCCTCAAAAAAGGATGAAACTCATATTTATTGGTTTGAAATTTGCTTACAAAGTACACAAAATTCATTTATATTCATATATCACTTACAGAATTAACCTCAAATCCTATCAGGTTATCTGATAACATTAAGACCGAACAAATTTGGCTGGCATACATGTATCCATGAAAAAAAACACTAGTCTTAAAAAAAAGAAAATTGCATATCAGTACACGTGATCTATCATCCTACTAACATTTACAAAGATATAACGTCAGACGGTCGGACAAGGTTATTGACAGGTTTTAAAAGAAAGCAAGGGTTACTTATTCAAATTCAACACTCCGTACTCAGATGGAAAAGCAAAGTCATGCTTTTGTTAAATGCACAATGCGCTTTATTCTTCTGTAGCACAAAAGCACTATTCAAAAGGCAATGTGCATTCATTAGGAAACTGAGATGCGGCAAAGTGCATACGTAACGGGAAAAAGAAATAAAAAACGAAACATCCCACACTATGGTCCCCAACAGAAGTAAACATAAAATGCACCCTGCACCAAATACTGACGGTCTGGATCATAAATATATTAACAAAAAGTTCAGAGACTACAATAACTTTAATCTAAAAATGCTAAGAGGGAAAAAAATTACATCTGAGCAAAAGTCCTAACTTTGCTTTGAGCTCAAGTTTGGGCTGAGCAGGCTTCAACAGTTTACTTGTGTTCCAGTCGGAGGAGCTGTTCCTTACCATTTATGGTTAACGACTTTAACTGTCCGTCTTCTTCAACCTCTACCCGCTCCTGCCCGTTCTCTACAATTCTGCATTGGGTTTTAAAAGTTAGTAATAAGCAACAGCACTGAAATGAGCAAAACAGCACTTCAGTCTCAGCCAGTATAAACACCAATTCCAAATTATATGGCTGATCATCATTAAATTGTTCTGATTCAGTGGACTGATATGAAATCTACAGGAACTATGCTAGAAAGACAGATTTCTTTATGATGGTGTTGATGGGAACAGTGGTTTGCAATATAAGTATGGCCATTTTATGTACTTTCACCCAAAATGACCAGTACACCTATATGCATCTTCTGAGTTTTTATGTGCTGATCATGGTACAAGTCGTAAAACTAAAAAAAAAAAATTCTTCCCAAAACTATGGCAAAAACAATACCTCAAACATCAGACAACATACGTGTAAACATTTCATGCAATAACTTTCTGCAATGTAGCTTTTGAAGGTATTAAACACTTCAGATAAAATCAACATTGCGAATAATTCTGAGTCGGCAAGTTTCTTATCTATTTGACTATAAATAGTGCCCCCTTGTGGAGAATATTCAGTCTGCTAAACGTGAGAGAGTAAGTGAGTGACTTGAGTATGCAAAACGGTTCCATGAGGTGTTTTGCATTTCAAAACATCAACATTCTATTGTGCCTAAAATAATCTCCTTTAAGGCAAAACGCTACAGATGAATAGGGACTCAGATATTCTAGAAGCTGGGCCTTTTGGTTCTCAATGTAGAAAAAAAGCTGATTTTGAGATTACTTTTATTTTAAGAATGGGCTTCGAAACTGCATCACCCACCCAGTGCGATCTCAGAAAACATGCAGCACTGTTGAAAGCTAAAAGGATAGACATTTACGGATAGTCTAGCCTATTTCTACAGGACACAAGCTTTTCAGTAATACATGACGTGACACGGTTGTGTCCAGCGTGGATGGAGCTAAACCTTTATTAATGTTGCTAAATTTTGGAAAAGATAGTTGGATGCAACTGGACATGAAGTGATGAAAAATGCTAAAATACACATTTTTATTCAGTTTTGTCATTTTTGATTACTGTTAAAGACCTGTTATAGATACAAATTATTAGGGGTGCGGGAAAAAAATCGATTCTTAGATGCATCGTGATGCGGGTGTGAACGATTCTGAATCGATTCACAAATGTCAAAAATCGATTTTCTGAATATTTAATTTATAACGTAATGTTGACGTAACGCATAAGGCGGAACTTGAAAGTGGGTAAGTGCAGCGCCCGGACAGCCCGGCACATAACAAAAACACAACTGGATGAGCGAGAAATCTGACCGGCTCCCTCTGCATTAAAGCCAGGTCAGGTCAGGAGTCACAACACAAATTAAGAAGAGCCATTTTGACTTTTCAGCAAAGATCAAACCAGCTTGGGAGCTGCAACATTTAATGTCCAGTATGTCTCAGTATGTGATAATGTCCCAGTATAGGCTAAACAATATAAACGAAAACGCAGATTTACTTCGCTCTGCTTTAAGCTTTAGTTCAGCTACAGCCGCTTTCCTCCCGTCTCCGCCAGAAAACCTCAGAAGTAGATCAGTTTCTTGTAAAATGTTTGACTGTTTTTCGAGGCTGAAGTCGCTTCTTATTCTCCAGCTTCTTGTTCGAATTTACCCGTTCACCCTTAAATTCTTACTGAGGTGGAACGGGACAATTCGCCACTTTTCAGTGTTTGACGGTCTCTCATTGCACATTTAACGTACCAGGAAACCAACTGCGCTGCTTATAAATGCGAATAATGCATCGCTGCTATGTGACCTGCAGTCTGCACGCCGGTTCTCAGTCGTTGCAAAACAGGGCTTTCGCGCTATGTTTCACACGACCCGTCTCAGGGATATTTTACTGACACTGCGATCCCCCCCCCCGTCTCTACAATGGGACCAAAACTGAGGTTATAAAATCACTAAAGAAAACGGGTAGAATAGCTGTAACGTGCTGCGTGGACGTCCATCACCACTGGATCTTATTTCACCGTAACTGCGCATTTTATCGCAGATGAGTAGCAGCAGCTTCTCGTGCTCCAAACAAGAGCAGTGAATGAGAGACTTCTAGTTCACTTACCACATCACTTCCATTTGATTTATTAATAAAGATATTGGAAGTAAATTCATTATGAATCATTACAAATACTTTGCTTTAAAAGCACCAAGTCACTTAAATAACAATAACACCGAGTCACTTAGTCACTTTAAAATGTATATTGTCTTTATATTCTGTATATATATTGTATATATTTGATATATTTCAGTTGTTTTTCTTATATTTTTATTTTTACTTATTTACTTTCTGTAGAGTGATTATCTGAGCCTCACCACAAACATTTCAATGCATAAATGTCCTGACATGTTGTATAAGTGACAAATAAACTTGAAACTTGAACTCGAAACTGGAGCTCACACAGTGAGAGAATATAAATGCTATATAGAAAAAAAGATGCATCGATAATCGTTTTATAATCGCATCGCAGCCTCTGAATCGTAATCGAATCGAATCGTGAGGTGTCTAGAGATTCCCGCCCCTACAAATTATTCAGACCAAAACTGTCATTTCTGTCTGTAGTGTCTTGCCTTAAAATAATAATAATACAGACCATTAGTTGGCCAAGCCTAGCATATCCAGCATTCATACCTTTTTGTAGTGATTTTCCTGCCATTTACGTATTTGGTTGAAGTGGACACGGAGCGGAAATTTCCCATTCCGCTGCCTCCTCCCCCAAAGGAGGTGGAAGAGAAGGAGGTGAAGCCCCCTCCGCCCAAGTGCCCCATATGCCCCATATGCCCCACGTGTCCCACGTGTCCTACGTGTCCTACGTGTCCTACGTGTCCCATGTGTCCCATGTGACTAAAGGTGCCAAAACCTGAAACACAAACATTCACAACATAGTGTCAGGCCAGAAACACACTCAACACAAGCACAGCAGCCCAAATGGCCACGCCTTGCCAGCATATTGCAAACCCCAGCTGCTCAGGCTTGAGAGGACCACTTGAGAGCACGCAGATAAACAGGCAGACTACAGTCTGTAATTGTAGAACTACAAACTTATGGTCAGTAGAGCTGATAAAATGCATAAAGAGTGTAGATACAAGGATGTGCTTTTACTGACATGGCTGGTCGGTGTATATAACGCATGCACTCACTGGATGGAACTTGCAGTCACTGCTGCTCTCACCAGAGACAGTGAGGAAAATGGGAAACTGCATTCTAACTATGGAAATCACATGATTTTCATGTTCGGGATCAAGATACTTTCCATGTGCATTTGCAAAATTCACAGAATGACCATTAGTTGCTTTGCCATGTCCAGTACTAAGAGACGAGATGACTTCAGCTTAGGGCAGGAAAACATTACTTAAGATTCAGCCTAAAATTTTAACTAGTAACTGAATCTCAGTTGCTGTATTATTAGTACAAAGTGGCAATCATTTACATTTATTATTACAGTTCATATTTGATAGAGAAGGCATATCTGTATCCGGCCAATATCAGCAGAAAATGCTGTATTGGTTATCAGAGGGGAAAAAGAATGAATGAATAAAATTTATGATATTGATTTTATCTCTGCATGTGTGTTCTGATAGTGAAACACTGAATATAGGACTTTTTCTGCCCTTTGCCCCTGGTCATTTCTGACACTGTATCAGCCAGGTCAGCATTTCATTCCATTGAAGTCAGTGGTCTCCAGTCGTGGTCCAGGAGAACTTCCTTAATGCAGAGTTTAGTAACTCCAACCCATATCCAATAAGCTGCCTCACAACATTACTTAACTCTACTACATCTGATCCAGCCAATCAGGGACTTGGGAAGAGGTTGATTAGCTGGAGCAGGTGTGGCAAATTGTGGTTGGAACTAGGCTCTGCAGGAAGGTAGATCTCCCAGGACCAGCTTCCAAAACCCATGATTTAAGTGAACAGCAAACATGGGTAATTTCTGACCTGGGTCAAAAGCCGGAAATCCCCCTCCGAAAGAAGGGAACCCTCCGAACCCCCCGAAAAACGAACCGCCCGTTCTGCTCCTGCTCATGCCACGCTGGTGCCGCCGCCCACCACCGAAGAACAAATCGTCACCAAACAGATCGCCCCCTGCAGGTAGATTGCAGACCAACAGCTCAACTAACAAATACAGCAACATCCAAATGTTTTACCACCACAAACGAGTAAACCAGTGACTTCTGAAAGCGTCACTAAAATTACGTATGCAAGCAACTTTTAACATGGCTTTCGTAAAAACATATGAAACAAAATTTTATATACATAATTAATAATTTATATATGTTATGCACATTATGCATTGTTGTATTACTAGATATTACTGACTCACACTGACACTGGATCAGCATTGGTATCAGTATCCGCTGATGTGAGAAAATACATACAAACAGCTCACCAAAGAAATCAGCAAACGGATCCTGACCACCAAAGAACTCTCTGAAGACGTCTTCTGGATTGCGGAACGTAAATCCTTCGAAGGGATCGCCGTTATGATAATGTCCCCCTTTGAATCAGAGCGTAACAGAAAATGAAACACAAGCCTGAATTACAGTTCTACTCCAGGCTCCTTTAACACTGTGGAGAATCTACAAGACAGCCAACAGAATCAGTGCAGTCGTGTTAATCAACTGTCACAGATCAATATGGTACAGCAGTCAAATAACAAAAACAACTCTCAATTTTAAGTCATTTACACCACCTTAACACATCATCATATAAGCTATTTCACTACTTACTAATAAACTTATGATACTAATACAGATATTAACGTAAGACAGTCACCTCCTCCGCTTCCTGCTAAGCCTTCTTTACCGTACCGATCATAAATACTCCGCTTGTTTGCTGAAAAGCAGAAGAGGGTTAGTGTAAAAGGCAATTTGACTTTTGTTAAAAATCAATCTTTAATCACAGAGGAAAACGAGTCACAATTAGTATAAACTGTAAAATACAGTGAGCTTCTAACATTTCATTGCTCTCCAGTCTCTTAAATACTGTTCAGTTGGAAACTAGACCTATATACTATACCTCATGTGACTAACTTGAACAACATGCAATTTCTTGGGACATCATACATGGTAAGTATCCAAAATATGCCACTAATTGTCGCAGAATAATACATTTCTACAATTATCTTTAGGAACAATACCTGTACAAAAGCTATGGCATGTTTTATATTTCATGTTTTATTACTGTTAAACTCAGCAAACACACAGAAAATGAGCACTAAAATGTATTAAAGTGTGTTTTCTGTGGAGGGTGTGTTCACTAATTTTCACTTAGAAAAACAACGTCATTTGACTTTTGCGTATGACTGAATTCCTTTAAAGCTTTGCTGCTAACAATAAAAAAAAAAACATTATGAAAATGTCACGATGCTACATTATATGTGCAAAAGTTTGTGGACACCTCAAATGTTTGTTTTTTTCTGAAATAAAGGGTATTAATAGGGAGTTTATCCCCCTTTGCTGAAGTAACAGTCTCTACTCTTCTGGGAAGGCTTTACATGCTGCGAGGATCTGACTGCATCCAGCCATTAGGGCATTAGTGAGGTTGACTGATGCTGGATTAGTTTTGGATCACAAACACCACGCCAACTCATCCCGAAGACACTGGATGGAGCTCCACCACTCCAGATGATGCAGTTCCACTGCTCCACAGCCCAGTGCTGGGAGGGGGGTGTTTTTTTTGTTTTAATTACTGTCCAAGGATCTGCCCAGTCACCAGAAAATGACCTAATTAATGGTGCGGTATTGCTGTTTTTTCACTGACAATGACTGAAAACTCAGTGGGCCAACATTATCGTGATAATTTATCACTTGGGCCCCCCAATTTCTTCCACACTTGACTACTTACATTAATATTTACACTCATTCCAGCAGTTTTCATTGTCTGTTTACATCCCTGTCTAAATATTCCTTCAGGTCAAATCAGTATATTCAGTGTATCTTTAATAGTCATTCTTATAAAATAATATAAAACAAATCAAATCAAATCAGCGCAAAATTTGACACTTCATGATGCACTCAATATTTTCCTACAGAATCATAACTGAATTTAGTTCTAAGGCCACAATTTAGAAGAAATGGCAAGACCAATAAAATTAGCTACTTAATTAATTTAAATAATCAATTCGGTCCCACCTACTAAAATGATGCAGCTGAGAGGTACAGCTGGGGTCTTTTTCAATTCATTAAGTTCAAAAACTAGAGATTTAAAATGACGTCACATCTTACCATCTGAAAGGACTTCATAAGCCTCAGATATTTCTTTAAACTTCTTCTCCGCCTCCTCCTTGTTGTCTGGGTTCTTATCAGGATGCCATTTTAAGGCTAGTTTTCTGTACCTGTAGCAGGAAGCAAAAGTGAAACATACAGAGATGTGAACAGGACAAAAGGAACAAGTTATACCGGCCAGAGTTCAGCACTTTGTCTCTGTTCAGGGATTAGAAACAGTTAACTTAAAACGAAATAAAAAGCTAAAATTTAGTCATTTAAGGCAAAATATAACATCATGATACCTCAAGAAATTTTCTTTATAGATTTCACAACATTTATTTTATTTCCTGAAATCTGATAAGTGACAAAAAGAGCCAGCAGTATAAATATTTTTATTAAACACTTCACATAGTGGGCGGCACTGAATCCAATTAAACAGGACTAATTATGCTCTGTTTGTAATGAAACAGGCAGTTATTCGTTGTTCTAAAAGTACTGATATCCACAATATATTAAAAAAAAAGCATATTGTGATGTCATTTATCACAATAACAATAATACACTAATTGCTCAGCACTAATTTCAATTAAGCTTTTACTGAATAAATGCAACACTTGGTGTTATTTTAATGGGTCAAATTCACACAATTCACAAAATATGCCATATTAGGAAAAAATAAATAAATAAAAAACACAGAAATAGAAATATTCGAATCCTAATTCTGTGAAAATAAACTAAAATCATAATGCTACTGACCAGCCAACCACATTTAAAACAGCAAAATATTTTCACCTATTTTCTCCCTGTTTTTGATTACATTTCTCAAACATCCCTGATGAAAATGTTCCATTAAATGTGTTTATTAACAAATCACTTACGCTTTCTTAATGTCATCCGGAGATGCACTCTTCTGCACTCCTAATATCTGGTAATACTCCAACATGGCTTTACGCAAAACCCTCAGTTCAACCGGCGACAACCTAAAACATTAACAACCATAAACTCAGAAAGTGTCACATAAGAACATCACATACAAATAAACAGAGGAACAAGAAGTCTGACAAAAATCATCCAGACACAGGCACAATGCTGTATATATATAAGGGGACAAAATAGTGACCGATATCAATACAAGAAGAAAAAGAAAAAACTAATTACTATTGGTTTAGTAATAAATCAGGCAATAAAAAAGATAAAGGTAATTATTAATTATATGTGTAGCCAGACCTGTTAAGTTTATTTTGCTAATAAATTTCATAAGTGTAAATAAACTAATTATGTAGTTTATTATGCATGTATAATGTAATTAATTACTATTACTATACTATGTAATCAATCATGTAAGTACACATCGTTACTGTCGGAACAAAACCTTGTATCTCAATTTTTGACATTTTATTTCTTTTTTTTAAATAACTGAAAATAACAACAAAATAATAAAATGATGTTATATTAACTTAAAGTTAAGAATGTTTTGGCTTTCTCCTATATATATATATATATATATATATATATATATATATATATATATATATATATATATATATATATTAGATACAAAGGTTTTGTTCTGACAGTGATATAAAATGATATAAATACATCAGGCTTAAGTTGGCAAGTGTTAAACATCCACCAGAAACCTTAAGGAGGATATAAAATGGAACCGTTTCGTATTTAGTTTGGTGTCAGAAACAGCGTTTAATGCGGTGAAGACCTCTAGGCCGCTATGACCCTAAAACGCTGGTTAGAAACGGCCAACAGCCAGGAAGGACAGAATAACGCCTTTATTCAAACTGCAAAATGTGAACATCATCTGACACTCAACAGATCATTCTCTGAGTCACTTTAATTTGAAGGGGTGTCTAAACCAACTCAGCATCACATAAAAATAACAGTACATAAATAAAAAACAAACAAACACAAAAAAAATAATAATAACCTTCAACAAATATCCCAAACCTCCTCACTTTTTAATCAGGTATAAAAAAAATTGTCATCAATATCAATACATCATACATCAACCACTGATACAGCTAATAATTCTGTTATAAAGCAGATTATTATGATTCTAATCCTAATCAGCTGAGCCACATTCCATGCTGCTGTAAAATACTCGACCGCCTCACAACTGCTGAAAAATCTGTGGCAGGTTCAGTTTTACCCTAAAGCCAAACAGTGATCTCCCACTGAAGCATTTCATATTCCACTTTTATCTATGCACTATTTTTGCAGCACACTGTTACCCAGACAACCCAAAGACCCCTGAGCTCAACTCTGTCTCAGACATACACAGAATCGCTCAATCTGGGTGACAAATCAGTACAAACCACCAAGATGACACTGAACTTATTAGTAAGTTGACAACATTATCAGCGTACAGTTCTACATCTCTAGCCACGTTTACATGCAGCCTAGTAATCCGTTAATAATCCGACTAATAGCTCAATCGGAATAGAATACGTCCACGTAAACACCTCAGTCTGAACAGACGAGTCCGATTGAGGCGACTGATCGAGGTGGCTAATCCTGTAAATAATCCGTTAAATAGAAGAATAATATCCGTGTAAACGCCTGTATCTGATTACATTCCCTATCGGAAGGTTTAAGTCCGTTCTGATCATGTTCGTCGCGTCATAGTGAAAGTTTATACCGTTCAACACGGTGGAGCAGAAACTGGTCTGAGGAGACGAAGTTTATGCTCTGGTCTTTAAAAGACGGCGGTGGGACGGACGTCCAGCTTATGTGTCTCAGAACACGACGTCTTCCTCTCGGCCTTCTTTAATACGGACATGTGAAGGACGTTTTCCGGAGTCTGACATCATTTTAAAGGAATTAAAAACACAAGCACTGCTCACTGCTGCTCGTCTCACGTGGACTGAACCTCACGTGATGTTCGCTGGCATGGTAACGTTTACTCTAAGTGCGCATGCGCGTCGTTTTGCATCGGATTACTTGTAGTGAGCATGTAAATGAAGATTTTCCATCAAATTGTTGAAGAGTGCGCATATAAACACCTCGGTCTGAATCTGTAATCGGATTGTATTCAATCGCACTGGCAAAAATCTGTGTATGTAAAAACAGCCACTGTGAGACCTTAAAGAGCCACAACATGGAGAAAATATATATATATATATATATATATATATACACACACACACACATACACACAAAGAGTTTGTTGCAGTACGTAGATACCGATACAGTTTCTAAACATGTCATTCATTCTCCAATCCACACTATATATAAATGGTTAATAACCTGTAATAACACCCCTTTTTGAACTCACTGGTTTTGTAACATCACAAAAAAGGGAACACAGCTGTGGCTGTTTATGAGAAGGAATAACGTTCGCGGACCAGTTAAAACTTTGGGAAATGGAAACTGCTGTCATAATAATCTCACAGTTTGACTTTTTTTACTTCAGTTCCAGTAGCTGTCAAACTAACTGACTCATTTAAAGTCATTTCGATTACGTGTTTGTGTTCCAGCTGTGCGCAAACTGTCATTGGCTCAGACAACATTTATCAGCCTCGATTGCGAAGTTAAAGCTTTCCTTGTGAGAACCTGAGATAAGATTCTAAAAGATGAAATTGCTAAATAAAAGACGTGATTTGCTTCTGTAATATGAATTTGTGAAAACTATCTTGATGTAAGATCTTAAGACCGAAGATAAAAGGTTTCTGGAATGAGGCCCCTGGTTATTAAGTTGAAACCCTCTTTTAATGGAACCCATTGGGCAGCTGCTGAATTTCACCGATAAACGTTTGTTTATGTAACATCACAATATTTCAAGACGTTTTCAGAATACAAGTCATGATATGTATTTAAGGCCTGCCTAAGCGTTAATCCTATCATTAGATTGCGAGTTCGATCCCCAGTGATGCTTTTTTTGGCCAAAAAAACTATGAATACTCCACGCTACACTAAATCAGACAAAACAGGGCTAATTATACTCTTTTATAATCAAACATATTTAAAAAATGGACGATATTCACAATGTGCTCAGAAAAAATATTTTGATTTATCATGATAACGATAAATATCGTCAGACTGCCCATCACCACATGAGTGTATGAAGAAAATACTAAACTACAGGCATTACAGCCTCACAGTACAGTTAAAATGAATCACAGACGAGAAAATGTCTTACCACAGTTTATGAAACTGCACCCAACCTTCAAACACCGGAGCGACGCGGCAAAAATAACTTTCGCTTTGCCTAAGCTTTTGTGGTATTTCTGTGAGATGAGGTAGAGCCTGTGAAGACTCTGCCCACAGCACCTCTGGTAATGAATCACCTCTGGAAAACTAGACTCATCTCTGAAAGAGTAGAAACCTTCTGACTGAAGAGTTCATAAAAAAAATATATATATATACCGTTCACAATCTAGTCAAGTCAAATTTATTTGTATGGCGCTTTTTACAACTGATGTCACAAAGCAGCTTCACAGAAATCCATTAAGGACAAAGTTTTAACATGAGATGTAAATCCTCCAGGTGAGCAAGCCAGGGGCGACAGTGGCCAGGAAAAACTCCCTCAGAGCTGCGGAAGAAACCTTGGGAGGAACCAAGGCTCACAAGGGGGGACCCATCCTTCTCTGGTCAAACTACCTACAAGATTATTATACTACTAATATTAATAGTAGTAGTAGTAATAGTTAGGAGTCCACTTCAGTGTAGGGTGGGCAGCTAGTCCAAGGCAGGTGGCGGTAGCTGGGCAAGTGGCGGTGACTGGGGCGTGGGCAACTGGTCTGAAGCGGGTAGCAGGAGAGCTCGACAGACAATCATCCATCAGTGTCCGGCCGGACAGGTGGGCAGTCGTTTACTCGGAAAAAAGGTAAATCTACAAGTTTTAAGTCCATTAGTTTTCTGTTTAAGTTCAGAGAAGCATGCTGAAATTTCTGTCTGCAGACTTTGACTATAAGCTACAAAATGCTGTGAATGAATTTTCCACGTTAGAGATATTTACACACATTCCACAGCTGCGAGCCACAGAAACGAAACTACAAAGCCCATTCATTTCTTTTAAAACAAGCACTGTGTACAAAATAAGGTACCTGAAAAACGTGTTTCTAAACAGCTCATCCATCGCTTTGCCCTTTATGGTATGCTTTCTGCTCAACAAGCTGATTCGGCTGAGGGACTATATGGCAGTCCTGTCATCACCACTGGCAGGACATGGAACCGAAACGAGATGTCGTGTACTTTATCTTTAGTAATTCAGATTCAAAGTGCCTTATGTTGCACTTCCATTTGCAGCAGTGGTCTAATTCACAATATTCCAGTCGCCAAAAGCTTAGCCTTGATCAACAAGGGCTACGACAAATGACCAGGTTTAAAATTAGTTAGTTGGTCCATTATTACTTTGATTAACTGATTAGTTAGTAGAGGGAAGAACTGCAGGTATCAGTCTGATAATGATGTGTAATTCAGCCAATTAATAGACAAGGATTAGTCTTCCTTTATTAAAAAGCTCCATAAAATATCTACTCTCTCTCTTCTTATTCAGAGTTTCTAAAAAAAGCTTTTATGTGTAGCACAGCAACAGATTTTCTGCATGAAAATTGCAAAAACAATAAAGAAACACACACATCCATATTTCTCCTCTAATGATAAATCAAAAATAAATGTGACGGCTCATCATAATGCGCGGACGCCAAGACTGAGATTGGGAACCCATGGCTTAGGGTGACGTTTCCTGATAAACTGGCCCGACTCACTGGAAATCAAAACATTGTTTGAATTCCTCTGTCACTTCCTAATGATCTACAACAATCTAACATTTTAGGCCTTCAGCTCAGCTTCTAAAGTCCTACAGCTCACTTGGCTGTATCGATTTATATGATCAGTTAATCCTTTATTAGTCCCACAACAGGGGAAATTCACAGTGCTGCAGCAGCCAAAGGAGAGAAAGGCACTGAAGAAAAGAAGTATTAAGAAGAGAATTAAAAACAAGGTATTAAACCTGTTAATTTACTTA